TGTACAGGTAAGCTAGTGCTTAACCTAAACAGTCCTGAGGGTTTCTCTCCCCCCACCCCCCCGGGCCACTTCTAAGTAAAAGTGAGAAACAAGCCAGCTAAACATTATTATGACTCAGAGTGAACTTTCTTAACACATGGAGGAGAAACCAAAATATGTCACCTAAACTCCTCGAAATAACAATGGTCTTCTACATTGCCACTACAAGAGTATAGCTTTATGACAGCAGCAACTAAGTATGATAAGCCCTCGTTCCCTCATAGCATGATATTTTTGCACATATTCAGAGGTTTTAAGACATATCAAGAGGATCTTCCACTGGCCCTGCAAAATGATTCTTCTGTTGTTCTTCCATATCTCCTTTCTATCCTACAAGTGACATGAGTCATGCATAGCTGCACCAGAGTTAAAATAGGTATGTGAAATCTGTGAGGCTCTGTCGCCCATTGCCTTGGAGAGAAATCAGGAGATAGCAACAGCAATAGTCCTGCATATTTTAAGGGACCAATTTCAGTAAATAGGATTGTGAGGAAGGAGCTAAATACAGGAACCTCCATTTCATTCTGATCCCCCCACCTCAAATCTCCAGCAACTGGACTCTTTTACTGATCATTCTTCCCTGCTGCTGGGCTGAATTGCTCTCCACCCATTCTGGAGTCAGCCAAAAACATAGGCATGCCATGGTCCCCAGCAAAGCATTATGTGAAAGCACCCACAAAAATCCAGAGGGCCCACTGCCCCCAAATTAACATAAACTAGGGCTACTGGATCTGGGCTGTAAAAATCCAAACCACCACAAAATGGTAGCTGAGAGCTTTGCTGCCATCTAATTCAAATGTCTGCCACCCATTAATAATATTAATAATATGCTGCCAGTGATGTGCTTTGGGGCGGCTCACAACAAAGACATTACAATAAAACTAATAAAAGAAAGAAAAAAAGATAAGCACGACAGACCAGACGGAATGAAGCGAGGGGTCTCGGTCTCCCTTGCCAAAGGCCTGGATGAAGAGCCAGGTCTTCACCGCTCTTCTAAACAATAGCAGAGTTGGGGCTGTCAGGATCTTGGGGGGGAACTTTATTCCAGAGGGCAGGGGCTGTTACACGGAAGGTGTGCTTCTGGGGCCCCGATATATGACATTCTTTAATTGAAAGAACCCAGAGCACGCTAACCCTGCAGGATCAAATCGGCCAGGCAGAGGCTATGGGAGACAAGCAGCCGCTCAAGTAATCAGGCCCTGTGCCATGTAGGGCTTGATAGGTAACAACCAGCACCTTGAATAGCACCCAGAAGCAAGCTGGCAACCAGTACAGCTTAAGAAGCAGAGGTGTTACATGGGCAATCTGAGTCATGCCCATTACTGCTTATGTCTCCGCGGTCTGGGCCAGCTGAAGCTTCTGGGTGGTCTTCAAGAGCAGCCCAATGTAGAGCATGTTGTAGTAGTCAGGCCACGAGGTAACTAGAACATGAATGACTGTCAGAAGGGCCCCCCAATCTAGGAAAGGATGCAACTGGTATACCAGATGGAGTTGTGCAAAAGCCTTCCTGGCCACAGGTGACACCTGCTCTTCAAGCAGAAGCTACAAGTCCAGGAAGACCCCCAGATTGCGTACCAACCTTGAAGGGGGAAGTGCTATAATATAATATAAACTGAATGACTTCTAGCAGAAAGGAAGAGGATTAGGAATTAAGAATTCTCTGCATTCTCATGCAACTATAATTCTCAGGATTATTTCAGAGAAGAGGCTGAATGGGAGCAAAATTTATTTGTAGAATAGATATGCCCTGGGAGATTTGAAGACATCAGAGCTGCTTGCCAGCAAGTTGGACTGAAAGTGGTCCGTGATTAATGTGTTTTTCTTTGAAAGCTTCTCCCTGTTATGATTTATCTTCTGTATGTTGTTTATAGCCCGGTAATTGCTGTGTTTTCTTCTTTAGTGGCTGATTCCAAGCCCTAACTTTGTGTAGAAAGAGCAAACAAGATGCCTGTAATGGAGCCTGAAGATGCACTTCATTGATTTCCATGGGTTTGGGCATGCCTTAATTCTGCATAATATCAAACTGTATGGAGGAGGAGGAACATGAACACTTTTAGCAAGAGCTATCAATCCTACAACTGAGCATAGTCAACACTAGTAATACTATACATTTACAGCACTCCCATATTGTCAGGTCAGAAGAAAGAGCCCTTAATCCTCTCCTCCCCTGGAGTAGCAGCAATCTTCCCCCTAACAATTCATGAACCCAAAACCAGGGAAGCAGAGTTTGGTGAAAGTTCTTGTCAAGGCTTGCCTACTAGCTTTGGGGAGAGAGGGACATTCTCTAAAAGAGTCTTCCCCAAGCTGGTGCTCTCCAGATCAGCTTCTGACTCCCTCAAATCCCTGTCCATTTACCTTGTTGCCAAGGCTGCTGGGAACTGAGGTTCAATAATGTCTGAAGAAATATCCAGGGCCCAAAGCTGCTACATGCATTTACTCAGAGGTAACTCCTACGGAGTGTAACGGAGCTGACTCGCATGAGAGGTGGAGTTGCAGCCTATTCATATATTTTTCTAACTGACATCTATGTAGTAATTACACTGTCATTTATTGCGACAGAGCGAAGATGAATTCTTTCTGCACCCAAATGTCATGTAATAATATCTTAAAATAAGCCACTGAAATCTTGTAATAATGCTGTGGCCTTGCAATATACTGTATTGGTGCATGAGATCTTGAACAATCACACTCTTATAACAAATTATTTGTTGAACAATCACACTCTTATAACAAACAAGAAATATTTGGGGAGAGTCAAGGGTGATTTGATGTCCTGATGGATGCCCTGCCCATCAGCCCCTGTCCAAATTTCTGCCCATTGGAAGGACCACAGCCTCACAACATAGCTCTCCAGAGAAGGCTGGAAAGAAGAGCTTTGTTGGAGGCCCTGAAACCTGCTATCTTGCGAGGTAGGCAGAACTGAGCTAGATCATTGGGCTCCTCAGAACAAACCAGCTTTCTCTGCTGAGAGATGCAAAAGGGAGCAGGATCCTGGCTTTTCCCTGTTGACTGAAAGGGGAACTTGGATTAATGCCATTTTTTTCTCACCATTGGGTGGGAAGCTCCACCTTCTGTACAGAGTGCTTGGATGGTTTTAAAAGAAAAACCTAATGCAAATATTTAACCAACTCTACCCCAACTCTCAAGCTTCTTTATAAAATTCTGAAAGGCCATTATTGTTCCAAGGGTTCTCCTGCCCCAAGAGATGGAGAAATTATTTATTGGGATTTGAACAAAGCTCCTCTTGGTTGTTCTCCTTAGTAGGGAGTTATTAGATAGCGCGGACAAAGCAACAGTTGTTGCTTTCTCCTAGAATAAGGGGTGTTTTACTAATGTAGAAACACTGAGGCTACTTATATCAATATTTTAAAATAGGTTGTATGTATATGAATGGATAGATTGCTTAAACCCAAGAACAAGAAACCCTTTCAAAGCATGCAGGAAAGTCTTCTCAGCTGTCATTAAAGTTGGAGAAGCCTCCTGTGAAAGGGAGTAGCAGAGTTAGCAATGTGGTTTGCTCCCAGGCTGTAAATTAGCACAGCTTTTCCCAATCTGATTCCTGTATGTGTGGATGTGTGCCTATGAGTTCCATTGTCCCCAGCTGGCCAGCATCTTGATGAAAGGTGTAGTCCAAGGTAATTGGAGGGCACCAGGTTTTGCCTAGGCAATTTCCTCCACCCTTTGGCAACAGTTAAGATATTTTCCTTCCTGGAAGCAGTCTGCTGCAATAAAAACAATGCTGGGCCTCAGTCTTTCTATAATAATTGTATCTGTGCTGTTGCTTTGAATATTGTTAAGCACCTGCTTCTGATAACATTGGACAGAGCAGGAACCAGGATGCAGTTGATGAGGGGGCTGAGAAATGCCTTATCACTCAAGGAGCAGCCTGCCCTTAATGCAGAGGGACACACCAACATTGGAGGGGAGGAATAGTGCTCCCTCCTCCGCACAGAAGCCCAGCGTTGAACTAGGGACTCTAGTGTCTCCAGCTTCTTCTGCTGTCGGTGCCAGCACTGGCTAACAAGGATGGGCTTCCATGGGCAAGGATGGGATTTTGGATGCAACAGTTTGGGAAAGAAGCTGCATAACTGACCTGCTCTGCTGTTTCTTTTCCAGGATGTGTTGCCAAAAGCCTTGACTGATGCACCTGATTCACGTGGCTGGCCCACAGCCTTCCCAGAAAGAGTATTTCCCTGTTCTAAGGAGCAGAGGCAGTGCCAAGTCAATAGCCAGGCAGGAAAAGCTACTGCAGGAGTCTCTCCTCAGTTTCCTGGCCAAGCCCAATGTTGCAATCTCACTCATTTAAATAGTGCTTCCTTGGCCCTTGCTCAGCAGGGGAGAGGCCACAAAGAGGCACACACCATTCAGCTCTTGGCTTCTTGCACAATGTGGAAGGAACTGCTTTCTATAGCCTTCTACCGGGCTGTCTTCACTGAGTTCCTGGTCACTGCCATCTATGTCTTTTTTGGCTTGGGGTCAGCGCTGGATTGGCCAGAGACGCCCTCCATCCTGCAGACTGCCATCACCTTCAACTTGGCAGCAGCCACGGCTGTCCAGATTGCCTGGCACACCAGTGGAGCCCACATCAACCCAGCTGTGACCATGGCCTTCCTGCTTGGCTCTCGTGTCTCACTGGTGAGGAGTGTCTGCTATGTGGTGGCTCAGCTGACTGGAGGCATTGTCGGGGCAGCCATCCTTTATGCAGTGACTCCTGGGAATATCCGGGGAAATTTGGGCATCAACACGGTATGTCATTGGGTTGGCATCTTTGCCATGGACATTTGCACTGGAAACAGTCCTCAAATAGCCCACCATGTGTTCCAGGAAGCATACCAAGATTGACTGGAGTCATGGATTTGGAAAGCACCAAATGGGGGTGTGATGTGGTTGTTAAGGTGTGAAATATTGTCACTGATTGTTTTAGATTACAGTGCAAAGCCAGGCAGAAGAGCTATAGTTGTACGTGAGTCAGTCGCTGATGGTACATCCTCTGAAAGAAGGCTGTGCAAAGCATATTCTTTGTTGGTTTACTTGGAAATCATTGGAAGAGAGAAGCTGATGATGGTTCAAAATTAAGAGAAAGGATTCGCTGGAATGGTGGTGTGGTGGAAGAGTCCAATGGGCAGGGCTTTAGGAGAGACCAACAATAAGTTATAACAAAACACTCAAAATGTCCTGAGGCATTTGCAGCAGGCACTGCATTATAAAGCAGCTTCATTGTGGCTACAATACCATGCAATTCCACTTTTGTAAAAATGGTTATTGTGATAGTGGAGGCACTATGTGATATCAGAATGCATGGAGGCACTGTGTAGAGCAGGAATGGGTGACTTCATGCAACCACAGCCCCCCAGTTCATCCCCCCTGCCCCCCAGCATCCCTAGATTGGATTGACAAAATTAACTGAAAAATGGCTGGGTGTTATTAGCATGGTTTTTAGCTTCAAGGAGCAGAAATTAAAGGCTGCTTCTGAAACTCTGGAAAGTCCCATAGACCTACTTAAAAGGGACTGAAGATCTTCAGACCTCTCCACTTGGTAATCTCAGAAGCCAAAATAGGAGGCTGGGAAGCAAACTGAAAAGGATTGTGCCCATTCTTGGGCAATAACAATTAGAAATTGAGATCCCTGCCTTCACGTGCATTCCCTCTAAATTCTAAGATGGGGAGGAATCAATGTGGCAGCAAATAAGGAAATAACAGCTGCATATTATAATGGGCAGAGCAGAGAGTCAGGCATACTTTGGGTTGATTCAGTTCAGATTCAGCTGCAAATGACATTGTTTCAGTTTGGTTCTACTTCAGGTCAGTGAAGGGCATATAATGTGATTTACAAAAGAGAATCAAGCTAAAGTACATGATATATGAAAATAATGATGGAATGATCTAATAGGTCTAAAACTGTTATAGCTTGATGGAGGCCTCTACAAGTATTCTAAAAGTTACTTTTGCAGTATGCAAGAAATTATTTATTTAGTTAAAGAGCTTAAATGGCCAGTTATCTCACATAGTGATCCTAGGTGGCCCACAACAACTCTGAAAAACAGAACAGAACAGAACAACCCTCCCTAGCAGGTGCCAGACCAACCAGCTATCAACCTCCAGGCTCACCCCCTCTCCTAGCCCAGTGCTTGGGGGAAGAGCCAGGTCTTCACTGCCTTCTGGAAGGTTAAAAGGGTAGGGGCCCCTCGAATCTCAGGCAGAAGGCTATTCCTCTCTCTCTCTCTCTCTATATATATATACATATACTGTATATGTATATATATTAAGAATTTTAATTATAATAGTAAAATCTAATACAAACTAAAAGAGAAAGAAAAACTAAAAGGTGCAAGGAAAATAAATGAAAATAAATAAATAAATAAATGAAAAGAATGCTAGAAGATATATGGGGACTCCTCTCCCTGGCTACTGTGGGGTCTTACCCCACTGGATGAAGCTGGAGAAATAAGTGGGGGAGCCATAGGGTGCTACAAGAGAGGGCAAGGAGTTTGTGGTAGGTGCAGGAAGGCAGGTGCAGGAAGGCAGAGATGCAAGGGTTGACCTGATGTGAGAGATAGAAGAAGGGAATAATATTTGTGGGGAAAAGAGCGGGTAAATGGTGACAACAGAATCAAAGGTGGTTGCAAAAGTTTAGTATATATGGGGACTTGAGATTAGTATTCTGTGAATGAGTGTCTTTGTTGGGAGAAGGGGGGTAGTGGAGAGGGAGAGATCCAGCATTAAATGAGGAGAAGCAACACAATGTGGCTACAAGCTGAACGTGGTTCGAAAAGGGAAGTCAAGACTTTTGATCTGGTCCATGTGATAAGCAAGGACTGGGGAGTCTCAGGGCTGTTCCACCTGACCAGGTTG